CTGAGCTCGAAACTGCTCGAACTTGCGGTCTGTCCGGTTTGATCGTTGCCACCAGCTTGAAGGGTATGAAACGAAGAGTCGCTCGACGCCCCGTAATGTCAGTGCCATTTCATACCTTGCATCTTCTACGCCGAAGCGCTGACCGCCCGGCAGCGATGCATTCCCACCTATTGAAACGAATCAGAGCAAGGTACGCGCCAGCCTATCGTCTATGCACAGGCCGCCGAGACTAATGCGACGTTTTACGTGGCTCTCCAGCCGTGGCGCCGTCTACGCCTCTGTCGCATCGCCGTCCGCAGGCGTGCGCGCTCTCTGCGAGGGTCGGCGGCATCCTCCTTGGGAGTGGGAAGCTCGGCTCTTCGCGAAGTCCGCTCCGGCGTGAAGATGACCGGGTGTCCTCGCTNGAAGCTCGGCTCTTCGCGAAGTCCGCTCCGGCGTGAAGATGACCGGGTGTCCTCGCTGCCCCACCGCATGCTCATCCGGAAACTCATCCCGCTCATGGCTAGCTTCATGGACGGCATTGTTCGGCTACTACGTCAGTGCGAGCTATCAGCGCTCATGTACGCCTACAGAGTAGCGTATCCACACGGTGAGGCCATCGCACCTGACGCGTTTCTGAATCATTTACTGAATCGTATCGTAGTCTTTGTTGTGCTGCCCAGCGTCTTCGGTCGATGTCCTGGGCGGTATCTGGACCATCCTTTTGCTAGCTATCTTGTCTCAATGCGAATTTCGTGGGTCAGTACTTCCCACTGCCCCCTGCGCGTCACACGGCATATTGACGATCAATCTTGCTCAGCTAAACTACGGCGGCGACGAAGTCCGACATTCACCGTCGGGAACATCCGCTCTTTCGGCGTGTATGGATCCGGCGTCTGGATACGAGTACATGCCCACAGGAAGACACTGACGAACTCGGACGTTTTGGATCACGAATAGAGAGACGAGAGGTACTTCACTCTCTACGTCTTTCGTAATCGCTGTCTGACACGTTCCTCAGAGCGACAATTCAAGCTGGCGTGACGATCTCGGCGCAGAAACGCGCGCGACATATCGCCATTGCGGACGTCGTGCTGGCGTTCGAGGAAGGACGGACCTCGACGAAGCTGCAGCGCCAAGCTGCATATATCGCGCAGGTCGCTATGCACGGGGCGCAACGAATACGCGAAGCTGACAAAGATGAACGCATGGATACGCGACTCCGGACCAGGCCCAGCCCTCGTTAGCCTCTACGCGCTTCGGCTCAGGGCGTACATCACCGACGTCAGTCAAGCAAGTACTCGCCGTCAAGGGGCGGAGACGCGTTCACGCAGCGCGCAAGGCGCGGCAGCTACGTCGGGCGAGTGTTGGCGCCACCGCTCTGCATACCTTGTCCTTCTCGGTTAAGGCACTTGAGCACTCGAAGACACCAGTGCTGGCGGCTTGTGGCTACCGATGCACGCCGACGCGGCGATCGCGTGGTGGAGCGGCTTGAAGACTTGGTGCGGCACAAGGCTCGACGCTTCGTAGGGCCGGCTGAAGTGGCCCCGATACTGCTGCCATGCGTTCGAAGGGTATTGATACCATGCCTTCCCAGGCCATTGCCAAGTACTCTGGATCCGGTACAAGGCGAAGGATAGCGATGAGCTGGACGTGGCCGACGGTGAGCTCGGGAATGAGTTCTTGCGTTCTATCATTGCTCACGATAACTCTTAGATTCTAAGATCGACTGGTGGAAATCGCTCGCTCGTGCTCAATGCAAGATTGAGGAAATGGCCGCGTGTCGTCCTTCCTTCGAACGAGCGCGCAGGACGCTCTTGAACGGGATCGTCGCGAGGCTCTGGCTGAAGACCCGGTTCGACTTTGATTGTATGAAGCGACCTCGAAGCGCGTCTCGCCCTGACGGACCTCAAGAAACAATAACGATAACTCGGTGTCCGCGACCGGTTTTCGGGAGGATGCTCTGCTACAGGCGCACATACGGCGTAGCAGGGGGGCGTGATGCGCGCGCGATGTCCAGTGCGGTTGCTCATGTCGTCGAGCCAATCCCCGAGACTCATCTTGAGCCTTCAAGGATTGGTAGTGGGATCTGGTTTGATGGTAAGTGCCTCGGCATACTAGTTCTGTGCATGCTGGATGCTTGCTGACTTCTTTTCACAGTTCCAAGACAACGTCCCCTTGCATGCACAATCTCCGTCGTGCGCTCATCGTCACCCTACGCTTCCGTTCTGCCCTCTGTCATGAAATCCTCTATCTGACTTGGTTCCTTTGCCGTCCCTTTCCTTTTCGAGTTGCGAACGTCTCCTAGTCGACCATATCTCCTGAACTGCATGCATACTGTACTTGTACCGTACCGACCCCGTACTGAACGTGAATCCGCTGCTATCATGAGGCTCCGTGAAATGTCACACCGTTGCTTCTCGGCATGGAAGGCGTAGCGGGGATGGCAGTACAGTATCTGGTCACCTGGGCTCCTGCAGCATACTTACTGCCGATGAGCAATCCCAATATCTACCCCGGGCTGCGATTGAATTGCCAGACATGTTGTTGTTGTTGTATAGAGAGATGATAAGGTACTGTAGAAGAATGTAGAGTATGATAGTAGTCGAAAGATCTCAAGAAACCCGCGCGGGATGACAGGTGTGCGCACGCGGTCGGAGCGAGAGCGAAGAGGCGATCCAGCCTCTCGCTCGCTCGCTCCATAGACAATGGTCTGCCGAGACACTCGTGCCTCGCGCCGCGGCAGACTCTCCATCTAGCTGACACTCAAGTACTCACTGACCATCTACTCATTATGTACAAATCTTCATGCGATTTACCTCGCCGCGCCTGCATTCGGACAATGGGCTAGTGTTCCTTTACGTCACCTCCTGTTCGCATCGTTACCAATCGTAACATTCCTGTTCTGGCAGAATACGTTGACTGCGTACATGGACTCCAACGATTGATGATTGCTTTCCGTATGCTACACCACACCATCGCGGACCCCGGGCCACGAACACCGTCGCCGATCTTTCACTTTCAATTATGTGAGACTCGGTGTGGTTGACGTGCGGGGAGTCACGCAGTTCGTCTCATCATCTTTGTGTCCACCATCTTCGCCCGTGGTTAGGTCATGCGAGGAAACGGAGCGATTGGACGCGACGGGTTCAGACACGAAGGTGAAGGGGTCCGTTGAATCGATACCACAGCGCTTCATGAGCTCTGCTGCCAGTACGTAGGAACGAGAGGGATTCTTGAAGACCGCTGGGTCGAAGCACATGAAATCGTAGCGCTGTGTGTCATAGAAGTCCGATGGCCTCTGAATGAGGTCATTCCACGGTACTTCGCGAGGAAGGGTCAACCTTTGCGAATGATCTAACAATGGGTCAGTATAGAGTGTAAGTGGCGATGGTGTTGTTCATACCCCATAGTTCTTTGATGTAACGCGAGAGTGCATCTTCTAGTGCACAAGGGCTAAGGGTTCCTGGGTCAACAGAAGGGAACACCGGTATACCGGAGGCATTTCGAGGAATGGTGGTCGTAGAAGTCGAGTGGATGGTAGGGGAATGAGATGCAGGGCCTACGGAAATAGTGAACGAACTATTGAGTGGAACGGCAAAGGATACGATGCATACGGGGGATATTCCTGTCAGCGTACTTCCGCCAGATCTTCTCGAATGCTCGGAGAGCTTTCTTCTCCTCGGTGCCAGCGCCAAATTACGAGTCATCCCTGACTCGTTGATTTATGGTTGTCGGTTTCGTGCGTGCCTGAAAGTTGGGCGTCTTTAGGAAGTCGGCTCCCACGACCCTTCGCGTGCCT